ATATTGGAACTTTCCGCGTGTTGGAGTTCCAGCATAATATGCTGGAAGTTCATACACAGGTGCATCGATCTCCAATATATTATGCTGGAGCTTTCCGTGTTGCAGCAAAATAGTGGCTATTTTTTAATGACTTTGTAAACGCTGACTATTTTTGAATGACCAATCCGAAAACTGGCTAGCCTGTGCTATTTTTACTGGTTTATGCATAGGTGTATAGGTTTGGGGCCAATAGGGCTTCGAACGTCTACTTTCGTTTGTAATGAGACCTGCCGCCGGGGTAAAAGGCCAGCCATTGATAGTGCCATGCCCAACGCTATTGGGCTCCCACTTTGAGCCCAGTAGGGGTGGCGATCCAATCTTGATTGTTCACGAGCTCGTTACATCACAACAATTAGGGTCTATTGAATCATTTACTCACAACTCAATTACTTGGGTTGTTTGAATCAAAATAACAATAAGGAATAATTGCTAATATATTTCAGGGATCAATTCGAGTGGGTTTAATCAACTCACTCTTTCAAGTGATTCGCTACTAATTTGGAATTTGAAACGGAGGAGGAACTTCACTGCAGGATTTTGCTAAGGCGTGTGATTTGGTAATTGTTAACTCAAGTTTCCCGAAGGAGGAACACTTGGTTACTTTTCAAACTCCCGGTTGATTCTCTTATCTGTTTTCCCGGTGCAGAATATAGGGCATTTGAATAGAATCCCTGTCGTTGATTACCCAGATGTAAGGGTGTTAAACGGGTGGGTCAGGCCGGGCTGGGTTGGGATTTTTTGTACCCGTACGGGTTATGGTCCAGGCCGGTTACGGGTTGGGGCTTACCGGGTTTAACAGGTTCGGGTTCATCCGGATAAAAATTGAACCGTAAGGGTTACGGGTTGAAGGGCCGGGCCGGGCCTGGTTTAGTATATTTTTTATTTATTTTTTGTATTTTGTATAACTATTGTAAGTTAAAGAATACAAGGAATATGGAAAAAAATTGCACTTATAAATTGCAAGTACTACATTTATTTCATAATTCAAACTTACAAATTGAAAGGTTTACATTTAACAACAAGTAAATTAACCAAAAAAAGGTAAATTCAAAGGTTTTGCATTGCCTTAGTAAGTTCTTCATAATCAATATGAATTGAGTGACCTTCTTTTGAAGTGTTAAATTCGGATGGGTTACCATGTGTTAATATATCTCCAGGTTTCTCGTCTTCTGGGCTATCAACATCTTCACGTCCTTGATTTCTTCGTTCCGATCTAATCCAATCTCTAAAACATACTAAAACTTCCAAAGCATTGCTTCTCAATGAGTGACAGGTGTCTCCAAGTTGTTGTCTTGCTTCGCTAAATACACTCTCTGATGCAACAGTTGAAATTGGCACATTCAGCACATCCCGAGCAATAGCGAAAAGAACAGGAAATTACTTTGCATTCTCATGTCACCATCCCAACGGTGAAAATTCCTTTGTGCGAGTCTCTTTTTGCTTCTGCAAGTAGAATTGAAGTTCACCAATGTTCCTGCTACTGGTTTGAGTGTTAGAAAATGTAGAAAAAATATTAAAACTATCAAGGCATTCTTTATCATCCACAGTAGCAGAAGTGGTACAGTGCATAGTGGGATTAATATTGCATATAGTACGAGCATCATCATCAATTACATTTGCATAATAATTATATAATTGTTATAAATATTCATTTAGCTTGTTCATACAATTATATAAATCTAGGGTTTCAGTTGGTCCAATCTCCATATAAGTATATAAAACATTCATTAATTGGTGACAATCAGACATCTTAATAGAAGGATTTAAAATAGCACCAATTAAGTAAATCGGAGGAATTGGAAAGAAATATTTTTTGAATTTTGCTTGCATTTTTTTCACAACATCTTTATATTTTTCTTTCTTCTTAAATTCAAAGAGTAGAAAAGAAATTTCAGCTATATGTACTAAAGACATAGTAACAGTAGGGTAATATGCTCCAGAAAACTCAACAGTAGCTGTATAAAATTTATGTAAAAATTTAACAACATCATTAATGACCTCCCAAGTAGTAGTTGTTAACATACGATTTGGATCAGTACAATGCGCATTAGCAACTTCAGTTATTGGGAATCTATATTTGTAACAACATTTTAAAAATATATATGTATAATTCCATCTAGTAACAATTTCGTCTGGCATGAATCTGGGTTTAAGGTTATACTAGAACGCTTAGTAGACATATGAGAATTCCAAAATCTTCTTGTAATTGTTCATAATCTATATTATCATTAGGCGATGTTTCGAAAACATGTGTAAATGGGGTACTACTATTACTACCAGATGCTGATGGACTACCTCTTTTTTTTATTTCCCCTACTAGCAACTTTTCTACACGCTCTTTTAGCAGCATTAAACATATTGTAAAAATTAAAGTATAAGCTAAAATTAAATATGCAATTAAAATAGTAAATTAGAGAAAGAGTTGGAGGGAGTGCACCGAATTCGATAATAAATTGAGTACTTGATGACTAATTCCGATTGTTACCACGAACAAACGTCAAACAAGTATTTCAATGTTGAAGTTCAATTGTTCAAACTTCAAAATCCGAATGATAAAACACGATAAATTAAATTCAAGAANGGTTAGTGGGCCCCAGTGATTTCAAAAAATTTAAAAAAAAACAAAAAAAAAAAGAATTAGTCGTTGTACCGGTCCGGTCCGGGCCGGTTAAACGGGTACACGACAATGTTCACGTGGACCGGGTTTGACCGGTCCGGTTAACCGTTACAAAAAAATAAACAGACCAACCCCCTCTACCCCTCCTACCCAGCCCACCCGGCCCCCTATGTATCGGGCTGGTCCGGTTCCGATTTTAACCGGTCTGGGCCGGTCCGATTACGGGGCAACACGGCCCGTTAGACACCTCTACCCAGATGGGATTGCAACTACGTCATATAAAGAAGAATCCCCGAAAACAGAGGAATCCTCGGCTCTTCTCAACTCTCTTACTAAGGGCTTCTATTCCAATAAGCCTACTTATACGTTCTATCTGAGCCTAGCTTTCAGGTATAGGCTTTCCCGATTGATTGGAAAGATTTTAGACTGTCAGAGAAAAAAAAGTTATCTAACCCTGATATCCTTGGTGCGGAAGCCGGGACTAGGATTGGTTATCTACTACTCAGAAAGTCGGATGGAGGTCTGTACGTGGATTACAAGGTCATCCCGAGTGAAAACCTAACGACCCAGCATAGGCTCATGGTCATGGATTTAGAGATTAGGAGGAAGCGAAGAAAGAGGGTTGTGTATGGTCTTCCTAGGATCAAATGGAGAGCTTTGACTAAGGTCAGGGCCCAGGAGTTGGGGGATAAGCTACAAGCTATGGGGGCATGGAGGAGTAGTGGGGACGCGAGTGGTATATGAACCGCGACTGCGAATTGTATTAGGGAGGCTGCTAGGGAGATATTAGGGGTCTCGAAGGGCCCTTCTGGTGTCCGCAAGGGGGACTGGTGGTGGAACACTGAGGTCCAAGTTAAATTGGAAGCCAAGAAAGTGGCTTATTTGAAGCTTGTGGAAAGCAGGGATGAGGAGGAGAAGAGGACAAATAGGGAGCGGTATAAGGTGGCTAAGAAGGAAGCAAAGTTAGCGGTTACTGCAACCAAGACTGCCGCATTTGAGCACTTGTATGAAGAACTTGGAGGCAAGGGAGGGGACAAGAAGCTGCACAGGTTAGCCAAGGTGCGAGAGAGGAAGGCCTGTGACCTGGATCAAGTCAAGCGCATCAAGGATGCGTTGACGCGTCACATTCAAGGGGAGGTGTCGTGGTGCATGTTGTTTGCAGATGACATTGTACTGATTGACGAGACGCGTTGTGGTGTTAACGAGAGGCTAGAGGACTGGAGACAGACTTTGGAGACTAAAGGTTTCAAGTTGAGCATGACCAAAATAGAGTACTTGAAGTGCAAGTTCAGTGGCGCGACTCAAGAAGAGGACTTGGGGCGGGATGGATGAAATGGAGGCTCGCTTCCGATGTTCTGTGTGATAAGAATGTGCCATCAAAAGTTAAAGGTAAGTTCTATATAGCAGTGGTCAGACTGACTATGCTGTATGGGGCGGAGTATTGGCCGGCCAAGACATCCCATGTCCAGAAGATGATGGTGGCGGAGATGAAGATGTTGAGGTGGATGTACAGGCAAATCAGGTTAGATAAAATGAGAAATGATGCTGTTCAGGACAAGGTGCGTGTGGCCTTGTAAAGGACAAGATGTGGGAGGCGCTTTAGATGGTTCGGGCATGTGAAGAGAAGATGCACTGAAGCTCCGGTTAGGAGGTGTGAGAGGTTGTCATAGGACGACCAACGAAGAGGTAGAGGCAGGCCGAAGAAGTATTGGGGGGAGGTGATTAAGCAAGATATGGCGTTGCTCCAGCTCACTGAGGACATGACCATGGATAGGAAGGTGTGGAGTTTGAGAATAAAGGTAGAGGGTTAGGTGGTCGAATGTTGTCCTTGTTTGTAGCAATAGCTTTGACACACAACTTGGTGCCTTCAAAAGCAGCCTTTTTTTTTGTTACTACTTGTTGTCTTGTGTTTCGGTTTTCTGAATGCATTACCTTTTGCTAGTTTTGTATTTGCTTTGGTTGTCAGATATGTTTACTTGTTATTGCCCCTCCCCTCCCCTCCCCCTTCCTTAGATGAGGGTCTTCCGGAAACAGTCTCTGCCTTTTTAAAGGCAAGAGTAAGATCTGCGCACACTCTACCTTCCCCAGACCCAACTTGTGGGCTACACTGGATATGTTGTTGTTGAATATCATCAACTTATTAGTTTACAAAAATTATGAGTATAGGTGACTTGAAAATAATTTCGAATAATACACTTCTTTCACAAAATAAATTCATAAATTCCTAGCCTCACAATAACCTCAAATTTAGGAAAACAAATCAAAATGCTAGTGCGCTTCTGTCGCATTTCAAACAAATTAATTTTCATGGCTATATATGTACACGTTCACATAACAATACTTATGATCCATAAATTAAAGGGCAAACTAATCGTTCACACGACTTGACAAATCAATTTTAAAATAATAATAAAAGTCTCACTAATTGTGTACACGTGCGCGTGACATGATTTTTGACACGCAAATAAAACAAGTACGTATACCCGTGACTTGATCTAAGATAATTTCATAATTACAATGATCAAGCAACTAAAAGCAGATAAAACCCAAATAAACACAAAATATCTTAAATTAGTTTAAGTCAAGATTAAGTTAATAAAGCGACTATGCTAGAACCACAAAATTCGAGGAGTGCCTAATACCTTCTCTTCGGTCAACAAAATTTCTTACTTGGTCTTCTACGTTCGCGGACTATATTTGAAGTCAAAACTCCCTTGATTAGAGATTTAATAATTGGTGACTTGGAACACCGAAATGACTCAAATCCAAGTGGCGATTCCTAAAAATAATAAAATTAGTCATTTTTCAAATAATGTCACCTCAATTGGAAAAACTCCTTTCCACCTGAAAAAGGAGGTGTGACAACTATAACTATATGTACATGTAACAGGCTGTTTTGCTAACAATAGAGGAAGATAAGGATGCAAAATAGCTCATAACTACATGTACATCATGTAACAGGCTGTTTTGCTAACAATAGAGGAAGATACGGATGCACAATAGTTCATAACTACATGTACATCATGTAACAGGCTGCTACTTATATAACAGAAGTTAGCTTAGCTAAACGAGATGCCCATTAATCAATTTGTAGTTGGTCCTCGTATCTATACCATAAATGCTGAGAACTCAATAAATTAAAGTGAAATTGTCAATTGCCCATATCATGTTTTTGGTGGCATAAGACAGTGAAATCTGCAATACCAAACAAGGCAGAGGGGAGGAAAACCTCAAATAACTAGAATAGGTTTGAAACAAGGCATTATAGCTCCAAATTTGGAGAATTCTTTACAGAATAAAAAGCTCTTCATTCTATCGAAATGTAAAACCTAAAATCTGATAAGGTGGTGCAACAATGCTAAAAAATGGCTTCTCTCAGCCACTGGCTTTTAAGAGATACATTTTCTTTTTCTTTTCTTTTCTTCTCTTTTTTTGGGGTTTTTTTTTTTTTTTTGGGGGGGGGGGGGAGAGGAGATGGGAAGACTAGGGTGCGATAAAAAGAAAAGGGCTCTGTTTGATTTACACATAACATATTTACAGAAGCATCGTAAACTTTATAAAAGAACAGAAATTAAAAAAAAAAAAAAACATATTATACCTGTAGCATAAGCTTATGATTGTCCAAGAAAAGCAGAAAGATATTTCTCCCTAGGCCGCCACGTGGTTGATGAACAGGATTTAGAAGCGGCACCTTACTCAGTTCATTTGACTGATTCTCCAACAGGACAGTTCTGAAACAATAAGCTGGTCAATTTTGCCGCTAGCAGCATCCTGGAATGTGATGGGCAAAACTTTATTCAAAACGCGCTACCAGTCTTCAAGCCACTCTGGAGTGTTAAGCTCCTCCAAGTCCCGAATAGGGGAATGTAGGGAAGCTATGTTGACATCACCATGATTTTCCAAGCGTTGACTTATACGAGATAGAATCTCTGCAGGAACAGGACTTCGATGATCTGCTACTTCTTTCCAATCAACACCAGAAAACCATGGATGATTTTTCAGAGAGTGAACACCTTGGCTTCCGAGTCTCAGCTTTTCATCAACTTGAAGTAACTGGCACGAAATTTACATCACGATACAAGGAAAAATAACAAGAAATTGGAGAATTTGTATAACAAAAAGATAAAGAACTTATACTTCTCATCTTCTATTTTTTATAACTTTCAATACTTCTTATTTTTCTATTTTTTATTTTGTATAATGCTGGCCTAGTTGAATTTAAATGGGGAACATGGTCAATGAGGATTTATATAGCCGACCCAACTTGTTTGGGACTGAGACGCAGTATTATTGTATATAACTAATACTTCTTGCTGTTGATTTTAAGGAAAGAAAAAGAAGGGATAAGAAAGTAATATATACTATCAGTCATTTTTCTAATTCCAGTCATCATTCAACTCCTTAGACTTGGAGATACCTTGGTAATGAGATCAATAGCTTCTTGGCTGAATGTATGTGGAAGTGTAAACTGTCCTTTAGCAATCCTTGCAAATGTAAGCTCACTCTCTCTCCATGATCCAAATGGCATTTCACCATGTAGCATGAAGTAGATCAATGTTCCCAATGCCCACCTGCCAATTTCAACCAGCAAATATTGGTCAACACCACAATTGGAGAAATAGCTTATGCCATAAAAGAAGCACTCACAACATCTTGAGAAAAATGTATGTAGCTGAAGACTCGAAGAATTATGATGTCTCAACAAAGGGTGCTCGCTAATCAAAGATGTGTGATAAGCCACGTCTCTTTCATACAAGGAGGAAGAAGCAAAGAAATGTAGGAGAAGATAATGATCTGCCTCTTCTCAAATTCCTGGAGCTTTCAGTTATGGAGGATTGAGCAGTTTCTATACAGTTATTAGAAGTTATTTGTTTATGGTTATTAGAAGTTATCTGTATTTATCCTAATTGGTTATGCAGTAGTTAAGGTCCGCCTATTATATAAATAATAGATCTAGTAATGTGTAGGTATTTTTTCAGAATTAAAACTACTTTATTCTGGAAGCTTGTCCTCTCCATATGGACAACTTTATTGGTGTAATTGTATTTAAGATTCTTGCACAAACTATTGCCAAAAATATTAACTTCTTTGTTCTATTTCTTCTATTATCTACTTCTGGTTACTATCAGTTTGGTATCAGAGCAGTAAGATCTGCCATGGTGAACATACGGACCAACGCTTCCCACAGTGAACCCATCATTCCGACTCTTGATTCGATTGCCCAACAATTGACAACTATAGTAGCAAAATTGGAGGCCATAGATGCTTTAGCCGCTAATGTGGTTGATTAAAGGCATAGAACAGTGGCGATTACAGCAAGAAGGGGAAAGCTAACATCATAGCAGAAGAGGGTGAGGTTAACATCAGTTGGCATCGAGAAACTTCCCGGTGTTTGCAGACAAAGATGGAATTTCCAAAGTATGAGGAGGAGATCCTAGAGGCTGGATTCTGAAAGCAGAGAAGTATCTCCAGTACTATCAAAAGCCTGGGGATTGCAAGGTTGATGTGGCTTCGATGTACTTGGGAGGAGATGCATTGGATCTTTTCGTTTGGATCAACAGCGAGCGAACCATTTACTATTGGGACGAATTGGTGAAAGTTATGCAAGAAAATTACGGACCTACTAAGTTTCACAACCCTGACGAACATCTCTGTGATATCCAACAAACTGGAATAGTGCTCGAGTATAGGCAAGAATTTGCAAACGAGATGCGCGTGTGCAAAATTGGCCTGAACACTATTTGCTCGGAGTTTTCCTTAGTGGGCTCAAAGAAGACCTTCGCATGGACATTAGGATTAACAAACATTTGTGTTGAAGGCAATGAGCCTGGCTTTAGAATATGAAGGAAGGCAGTGACCAAATCGGTCATGTAAGGCACCCACTTGGCCTTCGGTATCACGACCTTCTTCAGCTGGGACATCATCTTTAACGGCTCGAGAATCCTTCAATTTTCTGTCATCCCGCCAACCAATTACACGTTCTTTTCAACCACCATCACTTCCAAACACTCGCTCATTGACTCCTAAACAACAGATTTGGCGAGACAAAGGCCTCTTCTATCGTTGTGGAGAAACGTTTAGCCCTGGTCATCGCTGCAAATCTGGGACTTTTGCTCAACTGGAGTTGATGCAAGAAGAGAACGATGCAGAGTGTGGGAGATAATAACTGTCTGGGCATAATTTTCTGAATTTTGCCGTGAGGAGAATTGATCTTTCTAGGAGGGGTGTACTGACAAGCCACGTATCTTCCATACTTATTGAAGGAGGAAGAAGCAAAGAAATATAGGAGAAGATAATGATCTACCTCTTCTCAAATTCCTGGAGCTTTAAGTTAGGGAGGATTGAGCAGTTTTTATACAGTTATTAGAAGATATCTGTTTATGGTTATTAAAAGTTATCTATTTATGGTTATTAAAAATTATCTGTCTTTATCCTAATTGGTTATGCAGTAGTTATGGTCAGCCTATTATATAAATAATACATCCAGTAATGTGTAAGAATCTTTTCAGAATTAAAACTACTTTATTCTGGAGCCTTTTCCTCTCCGACAACTTTATTGGTGTATTTGTCTTTCAGATTCTTGCACAAACTATTGCCAGTAATATAATCTTCTTTGTTCTATTTCTTCTATTATCTACTTCTGGTTACTATCAAAGTGTGTCCAGTGAAACTCAAAGACGCTTCTAAACACATGATAGTCAATGCAAGCTTTATAAGATTATTCTATTCTCTTTTCCTTAGAGGGGAGAGAAACCATTAGAATTTTGATTTGACTCTTTGAGAAGAATGACACGGAGGGCGAGTAGGAGATGCTCAAGTAGCTAGCCTCACAAGTCACTCATTATTGTCTTCCAGTTTACTCAAGTTGCAGAGGCTTCTCCATTAACCAACCTCAGACACTTGTTCATTCAAAGGTTTAAAGAATTACGTTACATTACTTCTATATTACTTCAATGTGCCTCAAGTATACACCTTCATCATTTTGAAGCTATTGGATTTGTTTCCAGAAATTTTCAATATGAAAGAGCAATCTACCTAACTTCATTATCTCATCATTCCCCAAACCTCAAAAACAAAACAAGAGAAGCATTTTCATTGACCAGACAGGGCTGGCTGCAAGTTAGCCTCTACTAGCAATAACGATCCCATTGTGCATGCCTTAAAGGGTACGGCTCGGTGACTCTAAAGCTAAACTCATACCTCATAACCATGAGATCATGGGTGAATTATCCTTTGCCCATTTGATGTATCACACAAAATATATACACATGCATACACAACCACTTGTTATAGGAGTTAAAACAAAATGATAAATTCACGTTTGTAGTCTTATAGTCAGAAGGACGGGACACTTATTCATTTCTAGATACACAACTCCCAGATGATCACCATCCTCTTAAACTAATTGCCAAAGCATGATAATCCATAGACCTCTTTTAATGTTAAGCAATCAGACTAAGTATCTCATGTTATCTCATTTCGTAGTAATTTATGCATCATTAACCTATAGTAATTATTTCAAAACTTCAAGATATTCCATGGTTAACAGGGCTAATATGGCTGCTGAAGCTCATTAATTATGCTTGCATCACTTTATGATAGTCATTGAATCATTGGATAACCAAATATGTTTTAGACATCATGATAGACAGAATATCCCATGCGCCTTTGTATAAGTTCTCTTAAGCATTTGCATAATATTAAGGCAATTCCAAACTCTGCACTATTTGCTCTCAATTGTACTTCTCCGCTGTCAAATTAGGTTTCCATAGAACAGACCCAAGATAACCAGTTCTCCATCTCCATAATTCATAATGCTTTATTTACCAAATTAACTTTTTCAAGAGTCATATGTAGTACTTCCAACAAATTTTGACTGGTGTGGGAGTAGCATTTTACCAGTCAGCAGCAAAGCCATGGCCTTTCCCTTGGACTATTTCTGGAGCTAGAGAATCAGCCATCCCGCATATGGTAAATGTCCTCTCATCCGACTCAGAAGAAATCTTCTTAGCAAATCTGAACTCCACTAGCTACAGAAAATCAATAGAGGAATATCATTATTGGAAAAAGTAATTACCAGCGACATACTCTGGTTGTTTGTTTGACGAACTAGTTATAATATAGGGATCATTATGCGGTTAAGCAGTGAATAATAAAACATGGATTGTTAAGCGCTGAACAATAAAATACAATGATTATTATGGAATTAAAAAAAAGGGGGTATTATCACCTTTAGCCCGCGCCAGAAACTATTTACATTCGGTAGCCGAAAAAGTGTTAAAATTTGTATAACTTTTGTATATAACATGCATAATGTATATATATACAAAAAATATACATTTTTTCGGCTATTATTTTGAGAGTGGCTATACAGTGTCATTTTCCCCAAAAAAATAACATGAATTCTTATGGGGGCATCCTTTTGCTGTTTTGGCTTCCGTAAATAGTATACAGCTGTTACAGCACATCCTTTGTGCTCGACTATCTACAAATTACCTTACCTTTTAAAAAAATACATGGATTCTTATGCAAAGATTGCAATACCAAAGTCAAAATTTAGCTTTATCTTGGTATTGATAATTCAACAAAAATAATTATCCCGAATAGAATAATATATAGATCTCCGTATAAGCTATGCAACTATTAGTTATACATAATTTATACAGGAAAGCAAACACTATATTATGCAAAATTTTATACCGGAACCAAACACCGTATTGATAATACAGATATTTATACTGGAACTAATTTTTCTTATACAGAAAACCATACACGCCCTGATCGCAATAGAATCATTGTCATTTATGGAGGTCCATATAAAAAGAACTCTGAAAGCAATTAGCTACATGAGCAAGAGAAATATTTACCTGTATATGGCCGGTTTGGTCTAACATTAGCACATCAGGAGACACACCTCTATAGAGAATACCATTCTAGAAACAGAAGGCAAAAGGAAAAGAGTTAAATCTTGAAATTACCATGTGCTTATAATAACTAGGACCTCGAGACAACTTACATTGTGCAAGTCTTCCAGGGCAATGACAACGGATGCAGCACAGAAACGTGCTGACTCCTCATCAAGGGGGTTGTGAAGTATTGCTACCACAGAGCAAGCCAGGCATGAGTCCAGAATTATGCCAGCATGAGTTTCATCAGCACAGGTGCATAAAACTTTAGGTACTGAAGCTACTCTGTTCATTTGCTTCAATAGATTCTTCTCTTTTAGTACTTGTGCTTCTTTGCCAAGCATTTTAATTTTCTGCTTTGAAAATCTCTTCAAGCTAAGCAGTTTATCTGCAGAAAGACGAGACAATTTTTAATTCCTTGTACTGAAAACACTCATCAAGAATCTTTGTACGTCCACTTACTGCTTCGAATGGGTATTACTGGTCAGTCACAAAGTAAACCAAGAGAGAAAAAGCCCCCAAAGGAATGGCCACTGGAATTTTCAGCATTTAAAAGAAGCACTACCGAGGGCATAAGAAAAACCAACCTGAGTCTTTCAGGCGCACTAGGCCAATCTCACTGCAGTCCGTTGAATACAAACAAGTCTGCCACTCCTAGACAAATAGCTAATATATTTATACATCTGCCTCATAAAAGTTTTTCAGAAATACGTTAGGAAGAAGTACAAGAATCCCTCACCAAATAGGCAAGCTGCAAATCTGCAAGCATAGAAGTGTCAACGCTCTGGATAGACTCTGAAGAGAGAATTGTTTGATGGCCCTTTGCCCTATATAATTATGTTAGTGGAAAAACTTTTAGTCGTAGATACGAAGAAAAAGTAAAGACTGCAATCGCTTTACATCATACATCTATCAGACCCCAAATGTAAAACATATACGTCTTTTTTCTTTTGCTTCTGTAACTTCAATCTCGCTAGATTTTAGACATACTTGAGATCATCCTGTGAGAGCTTTGCCAAAGAACCCACAACTGAATCAAACTTCTCCTTAGTTAAGATAGCGCATACCACATCACCCACAGCAATGGCACTCAAGGAGGCTATTTGTTCCCCAAGAAGTGTCCATTCCCCAAAATAGCTCCCTTCACTCTTTTCAACTGTTATGCCTTTTTTGTTCTGTGTATCATCCTGCTTTTGGTTTTCACACATGAGGCTTGATGCATTTTCACATTTTACTAAATCCATGTCAAATGTAATTTTTACAACCCCTTTCTGGATAATGTATAGGCCCATAGGTTCCTGATTCTGCAAAAATCCAAAGCATGTGTAAGAGAATGTAGCTAGCACAAGGCAGTTGTCATAAAAATAGTTATCATTTTAAATGGAGCAAAGTGTAAGCAAGGAAGGAAAGAAATTTGAAATAGCTACCTCATTTACTATTGTCTGCCCATCAGAAAAGGGCACTTCTGAAACCAACTCTGCAATATGACTTAGCTGTAAAATTGTCAATCTTGAGAGAAGATCTACAGATCGCAGCAGCTTCAACGAAGACAAATTAGTAAACTCGGACATAAGAATATTTCTAAAATCTTCTCTTTTTAGTTCCCACAAAATTCCATTGGTGACAGCACGAACAGAAGCTTGGAGTGGTTTATTGTACCTATGGTGCAATTGAATTCAACGAAAAACAGAGATAGTCAGAATAATTCTACAGATGATCCAAAGAGTAGTTGAGATTAATCAACTGTAACTAATAAACTAGTACTACGGTGTTGCAACTTGCAATATTACGATCCACACAAAAAGATATAACTACCAAATAGGTAACTCAGGTTGATAGGACCCAGCACTTCATTTAAAGAAGAGAACGGACATATTGCATTGCTNGTTGCTGCTTCAAATTGTTAGAGAGGATATGGGAAGAACGAACTAGACTAGCATATCAGTGTAAAGCTTCACGATAATATAACTTTCAAGGTACCACATATTCTTCAAGTACCATACGGCTTGTCTTGGAGTAAAAATAGAAGGGGAAAGATAACAGCTCTGCGATTAAAAGCATTAGACCGTATTTCACTTTCCCCTCAAAGAACGATTTCGAATTTGATTGTGACGAATTACAAGGGAAAGAAACATTTATCTTACATCAGAGCCAGCTCTCCAAAGGATGACAGCTTATCAGCCGTGTAGTGCTGAAGAACCCTTGGAACTCCTCCATTCTTCTCATCCTGGCATTTTTAATTCAAAGTTGAAGACTTCAAACTAGATCCAATGAGAATTAATTGGGACAAGCTTCTTTTTATGATAATGATGAATCTGATAATTTCCAGAGAGTAAGTGAACCGCACACAGTTAGTTTGATAACATTGAAACAGAATCAAGTGAAAAAACGACTCCCACCTGTGTCGCTAAGACCTCAAACTCTCCACTCCCAATGACATAGAAAGAGTCACATTCTCCACCCTGCAAAACATTGACCATTTGGTATTACAGAAGGAATTTTTATAATGTCAGAATTTAGTGCTCAAGAAATTGCTGTGTCATGTGGCTGGAAAGTTTGAAGGGAATCTATCAAAACCTCCCTAAGTCCTAAAATATACATACAGATAGGAAAAACAAATCATCACATGTGGCCAGGAAAGAGACCATCATAAGTTGTCTCACTAGCCAGGACATGTTGAAGATAAAGTTCCAATAATCATGGGCCTATCTTTACGTGTAAGCATCATCACTGACATTCTTGTTTTGATATAGTACTCCAGAAACCAAGGCCATTATCAACTCAAATACCAAGAGAATCTACTTTTAATAAATATCTCACTCGATCATGTTAATGAAGAGTTCTTACTCAAATGATCACTCCAACAATAACTACACCTCAATCTCAAACAAGTTGGGGTCGGATTGGGACCAATTAGCGTTTCCTAAAACTAGGAATTCTATAAACCTCAAGTTATCTCCACAAGGATTTGCAATCTCTAACCAAAATGAAAGGACTCTTCTCTAACACTGGACTTAGTGCAAGTGTAAACCTTCATAAGTTTTAAAAGTTAATTACGACTAACCACGATCCTAACAGCTTAATTAATGTGTCCCCGGGGTGTAAACAAAACCATATGAAGGTGGTGAAATGTTTAGGACATGATAATATATGTAAGGTATGGTTTGGGAGTGTTTAGGTGGATAATGGCCAGTGTTACCAAAAGCGAAAAGCGCAAAAAAGCTCTAAGGTCTTATGGGACTTTAAGCACAAAGCGCAAATAAAGGGCGGTTTAATAAAGAAAGGCGCAAATGAAGAAAAACTACAAATATATATGTGTAGTCCAAGACTAATATCTATAAGCATGATTAGCAAATATATGGACAAAGAAATTGAAGAAAATTTACGATAAAGTGAAATATCAATTGCTCAGTACAATTTACTCATGAGTTAATTAATAATTTGAATGAATTTCATCTCATTCATGAATCATGCAAAACTACAAGAGACGAAATTGGCAGTATATAAAGATCATATGTTTTTACCTCAAAAGTCAAATAAAAACAATTGTGGTCCTCTAAAACCAATAATACAGGACAACATACAAAAAAATTGTACTTCATCTTGAAGTTTCCTTATCCATATTACATTACTGGATCAAAGCTCTGGTACAAAGATATACCTGTTTGACTACAACATCTCCAGCTTGTACCTCAACTTTTTGCATACAATCCAATAAAACTTGACACTGAGAATCTGTAAGCTTTCTAAAAAGAAAGTGGTCATGCAAAACCCGGTCAATCTGTGCCTGTCATGCAGAGATGATGAAATTACTTTTTATCCATGAGATTAATAAAACTGATAACAATTGAGGAAGTAGGTGATAAGCTTCTTTGGTTAGAACAGAATATCAAAAGGCAACCGATGAAGAAAGAAGGGTTACTTCTTCTTCCCATGTTTTTCTATGGGCTGGAGAAGGGGGGGCCCACATCTGTCCATTCTTTAAGGAATTCTCAATAGCACGCAATCGTGCCCGTGATATATCTTGCCTGGCACGTTGATTCCTGGAATTCCAGTTCATAACTGATGGAGATTCTGATCCTGATAATTCAACAACCTGAGGCAATGGTGGTCGTAAAACTACATCAGAACTTGTTGATTGACCAACCGCAACCTGACAACAAAATAGATGTAATAAGTGAGTATTTGAATTAAAGTATAAATATTTTAGAAACAGAGAACGTCAGAGCAAAGAAAACATATTACATCAGTCAATCCGTTGACTTGTACAACAATCACGGTAATATCATCTGTGCGAGTTTCATACTGTAGCCAAAGACGGTATGATTCAGCAACAATTGCAGCACAAGCATCACGAGGATCCTTATACTTTGCAACCTACAAGGTCATTCAGTGAATTAGGAATATTAACAGGTAAAAGAAGAAAACAGCGTAGACACCGTGATTGTAGCATGTTGTCATTCCCAACTGATCTTAGGAGACCTGTTGAGGTGGAACACGCACAAATATTACAACAGAGAAACATACATGAGCGCAAACTGGTGTTATACTCCCATGAAAGTTCACTGTAGAGTTTAAATTTTCTTTAAGACCAAACAACAGCAAGAACACTACTCTGTCCAGAAACTTCAATGCAACACAGTATTCGAACAATGATGATTAATATGTGCAAGTGCTTACTAATATTGTCATTTGAGGAGAAAAGGTTATAAAAACTGCATCATATTGCAGGTAGTATGATATTAAAAATCTAAAAGCCTAGAAACTCTAGATCAATAGAACAAGTTGATGGGAGAACAGTCCCTACACATGCTCAGTTTCTCTCAGGAAGAAACTCCTGTCTTCTCATGAATTCTCATCTTCAAGGTTCAGATGAGCTCAGCCAGATCACTTGCAAGTTGATGCAAAAATTGATCCTATAATTGATGACCACAAAGCCCCACACAGTCTCTAATAACAAAGTTAATCAAGATAGGACCTGGACCTTTAGATTGATGGACCACGAATTGGTTTGGTATTAGAAAGTATAGAGACAGGATGCCTCAAAACTCAAAGGCAAAATAAAGCCTGTCGGATCTGGATGATCTTTTTCTCTTAAGAAAATTACCTTAGCATTTTTTGGTTTAAAATTCTCTCAAGGGGATGTTTTCATGCTAGGAGACACGGTGAATGGTAGGGGCAGAGCGCACAACATATTTTTCATCTAGCTTATGGGTTTAAGCGTGCCTGGAGCGAGCCTTGACAACCATGTTAAGTAAGCTTTAAAATGAGCCTTAAATAACACAAATTACATCATCAAGTTTAACTATTCCTCCAAGTCCACATTCTCAATACTAGGAGCCCGTTTGGACATAAGAATTTTTTCACTTTTTTTCGAAAAATTCACTTTTTTCGAAATCATTGTTTGGCCATGAAATTTTCAATTTTCACTTGAAGATAAATTTTGGAATTTTTCGAAAATTTGAAAAACTCAAAAAAACTGTTTTTCAATTTCACTCAGATAACTCACAAAACTTCAAAAACAACCCAAAATTATATTCATGTCCAAACACAACTCTAATTTTCAAATACCATTTTCACTTGAAATTTTTTTTCACCTTTTTCGAAATTTTACAATTCTTATGTCCAAACTCCCACTAGGACCTCCTCTGGTGACTGGTCATTGCCATTGCTGATGAATAATGAATTAACCCATGCAAAAAACAACTATTTTGAAACCCAATGAGATAGAATAGAGCTGATTGGAATTTTTTTTTCTTTAGTTGATAAAATAGGGTAATTTTATTAACGCAAGTACCAAGAAGGTATTGCCAAAATACAGCAACAAAATACAAATGCTCTTAACTCAGCATTCACCTCATGGAGTGTATGAACTCAACAAGGTGATTCATATCTTCTATCCTGGTTTCCTTACTCCATAAGTATAAATTTTGTATATAACTACTGTTAACAAAAGATACTGTTGTTTTTCTCCTTCGAAGCATCTTCTATTTCTTTTTAGCCACATAGTCCACATGACACAAAAAGGAAATCTCCTCCCAATTTCCTGATTGTGAATCTTTTACACTTGAATGAGAATTAAGACATGAATTCTATTACTAACAATTGCCTTGCACAGCCCAAAAAGGGATGGCCTGGCCGAAGAGTTGGAATAACAACCTTGAAAAAGAGGTTCGACTCCTAGCAAAAGCAAAATAATGTGAATAATTCTCATCTATCTAAACTTTGATGGGCAAAGTTACCCAATACCTGTGGTGGTGGGAGGTAGGAAGAGGTATGCGTAAATTGGCTTTGGCACCACCGTTTTGTATATATGAACACACACACACACATTATATGTAATATGTATGTATGTATGTGTGTATATATATATATATATATACACACACATACATATATGCTCGGTACCAAGGTAAACCTTATGGAAAACTGTGCAAGTCTAATTACTCCCTCTGTTTCATATTAGATGAGGTAATTTCCTTTTTAGTATGTTCCAAAACAAATGACACATTTCTAAATTTGGAAATAATTCAACTTTAAACTCTTTCATTTTACCCATTTACCCTTAATGAGAAGCTTTTATAATCACACAAATGTCATGGCCCCACAAACTTTTTACACCTTAAGCTTTTAAAACCACAAGTTTCAAAAGTCTTCTCTTTTTTCTTAAACTCTGTGCAGAGTCAAATTACCTCATTTAATATGAAACGGAGGGAGTATTATTTTGCAATAGGAAAAACTACTACAAATTTATAACTAGCTAATTTTTGACTCATTATATGTTTTAAGGCAATTGTCACCTCATGAGTTGGCTTTTGGGGTTGAATTAGACCTAAAGTCTATTTTCTTTAGAATCTGAAAAAAAATGGTACTACCTTAAGTCCCAAGTCATAAAGGAATCATTTCATGTTAATTGGTCAAAGTCCCCTATCAATTTTGGATCTAGTAGCTAGTGAAAAGAAGTCATCTCACAAAGTAACGGTTTTGAGCTTTTTGGATTTCTTGGGCGGGTTATGAATATTCATCAAAGAAATGAAACTCATCTGCTTCCTGCACACCCAATGTCTCACCAATTGTATCTTCCAAATAATAAGACGGTCAGATAATTGAGTTGCTGAAATTTGAGAGAAAACTCTGGAGTTTATTTCTCGAAAGTCATTTCTTTATCTTGAAGCCATAACTTCAAGTGGTGGAATTTTGCAAATCTTTATCACCTTGGTTGATGGTTGGTGCTTCGTCCTTTAGGCCAAGTTATGGTAGTTGCTGGTTTCTTATCCATTTTTTTACCTTTCTTAAAGATGTCCATTTCTAATATGATTTCATCCATCTTTATATTCAACATACAGAACTTGTTTCCACTTGTTTTGGAGTCACTCCTTGCTTGTTTTGAACGAGTAACTGAGTAAGTAGTTACTTGATAATCAGAGTCTCATCTTTCACTCGTTTTGGAATCACTTTATTTTGTGTTCTACAGCCTAACATACATCTATTCTTGAAATCTAACCATCATCCATTATTTCAACTTAAAAGAACTTAATTGTATCATATATCATTTATTTGCACCAACAAGAAATTACAATATCAACCAGTCAATCAACTACGTCTACATTTTCTTTTTTCCATCCTGGGGAAAGCAGTTCAAGAAGATGTTAACCATAAGTGAAAATCAGTCGTGCTGCTTTTATTCTTCTGGACTGCAAAGAAAATGCACGCAGCATAATCTCAAAATGCTCTATGCTTTTGTTCTCCGCTAGCACCCTAAACTAATCATCAGGATTTGATTGGTTCGCCAAAACACTGATCTTATGTAAAGTTGAAATGCGCACACATGTAAGAGATTCGTTTAACTTTAACATGATATTAGTGGATGTAAAAGACATCAATTAAATAATAGTGGAGTCAGGTGCATGAATAGTGTTGTGGATGATGTAAAAAATTTAGATGCCCCAAAAAGGAAAGATGTCCCATTATAAGGAAAACATAAGAGTACTTTATGGTAAGATATTTGCTTTCGTCAGAAAATAGTTGTCTCCTGTATTATTCCAACATAGATTTGGGAATTGATGTTGTACTAAAGGTTTAAATGAGCTAGCCTTTTGTGGTTAATTAGTAAAAGATAGTTTTGCAAAGCAAAAACTAGAGCTATTTCTTTCATTATTATGGGTGCAAAAACTGATCAATGGCCTTATCGCAGCCTCTCACTAATTTCCAACAGTCTGCACATTTCCTGAATACTAATTAAAGATATGACTACACATGTCAAGCAAAAAGACAAAGTCCTCAAAAGTCCAAAGCACTTTATTTATTACTAGACAACAGAATAATTTTTAGTCCAATGTTGAATAAAGAGAAGCTAAAATATATAGTAAGTAGAAGGAGAAAGAAGAATTTATTACCATATCCACAACGGTTTGGCTTGAAAGAAACTCAAATACCCCATCACTGGCAATCACAAAGAAAGGATGATTTGAGGTGAGCTCCAAAACAACAATTTCAGGATTTGGAACAACACCAATTGTCTCAGCCACAGAATCACCTATACTTCTTGTAAAAGCTGTACCAGGATACATCCCATTTGGCACCCACAACCTTGGAGGATCACCATCATCACCTTCTTCAGTGTCCCAACATTGCACGTCAGGATTCTTCAATCCTTCAATCTGATCCAGTGTAAGAACTCTTGCTCCACAGAGCTTAACCCGCTCAGACTCATCAGGCCTAAATGGTGTTTGGTCGATTGATAAGTCAACAGCCACAATTTCGTTACCCTGTCTCTCAGCTATAACAGCTCTTGAATCACCCGAATTAGCAATGTAAAGTGTCCTACCTCGTACGAGTATAGTTATTGCAGTTGTTCCGCTCATGCTATCATCTATAGCATCAGCGTGCAACTGCGTATTGGTCATCAAGAATGCCGCATGACATGCCTCGACAGCATCTGAATGAAATTTACTGTTTCTAAGCAAATTCTCACAAAGTTTCTTTTTCACAAACTGCGAGCATTGAGCTCCAAACTCTCCATGGCCATCAAAAACACCAAAGAAATGATCATTTGGGCTTGTTCCAAACGGAGTGTGAATGCAAAAACTGTCTTGATTAGCTTTATCAAGGGCATCGGGATAGTACCCTCTTTGAGATAAAAATGAACATCGTAGTTCATAATTCCCTGACGGAACTTTTACAACCCGGGAACCATCGGGCGGTAAAAATTGTGCAGAGACTCTTGACAGTCTAGTGATACCAATATCATTGTCCCTAGATAGACTTAATTGATTTAGTTGGTCTCTAATTTCTCCCTCTTCCCCATCTGATGAAGAAGCAGGTGAAAACACAGCAATTCCAGCAGCTGCTTTCAAATTTTCAGGTTCTTTAACTTCCACATTTCTTGGTGCACAAATCTCCCCAATGCAAGAAGCTCTTGAATAAACACAACCCATTATTACAAATACCAAACTGAGTCAACCCCACACCTCAAAACTATCAAATGATTCATCACCAGCTCAGGGGCGATTGCACTGTAGAAGCTACGGTTTCGGCTGAACTCAGTTGCTTAGGCTCAGACCCTGTATACGTTTTTAAGAACTACTAAATATTAAATTTCGAACCAGTAACTCAACTGGTCCGTGGGTTCAGCCACATCCCGGATCCACCTCTGCAGCAACTTTTTAACTTTAACCAAACAAAATTTTCAGAAACCCCTTATCCTGAATTCCGCGAAAATTGGCAGCACCTTGTCAAAGCGTAGCTGACAGCCCCTTGAGATTAAAAAATTGCAGGAGCAGTAAAGTTAAATCTGAAAAATAGAGAAAAACACAGTAATAAATATACCAAAATTCAACCTATCCAAAAAGATTATGAAAGAATTGAAAAGAAAAACAAAATTGCAATTGATAAAACTAGAAAATTCAGTAAAATCCAAGGAGAAAATGAGACATTGGTATAAAGTTATCGATCGAGATTACAGAGAAGCATAATTGAGGAGGTAGGGGGAAGGGTAAACAAACTTTTTTTAGAATCAGAGTGATTTGAGTACTTTAATTTGATAGATTAAAATGTAAATACTCCGAAACAACTTGAAAATAATGAATAGCAATTCTCATACTCAAATGTCAAGTAATATGAAGAAAAAAAATCAAATATATTGAGAGAGACATCAGTAATTGAAAGAAGTAGAATGAAGACGAAAATAACATACTTCAGCAAAAATTGAGATTGTATTATAAATGCAATATTCTAACAAAACTGGGTTTCTTCGTTCTGAGTAGATTGACAGTGTGAAGTGACATAAACTTGGTGCCCAATCATATACTAGCAATTTTTAGCTCAGAAAGAGAGAGAGAGAGAGAATGTGTGTTTGTGTGAGAGAGAAAGAGAGAATGTGTGTGGTGTGTGTGTGTGTAGAGAAACGTAAGCAATGCATGTGTGGAAGGGCTTGGCCTGTAACTCTTTTTCTCTCACACGCCACGCGCTTTCTTTAACACGCGCCTCCTTGTGTAGTTGTTTCCGTTCCCTTGGGAATAAATCGCGGGCCCAAACAGCTATGCACTGGCAATGTGACTAGAATAGATCACAATGCATCGACGGAGTAAAAAATTTAAACATATATGCTATCAAATTACTTAAAAGACAATACAGATTATATTCTGCATAAACATTAGTTGATAATCTTGTATATATGTATACAACATTAAGTGGTAAGCGGTAATATTAAGAAAATGGAAAGCAATTTTTTTAATAGGTGAAAATACAGTAATAGTATAAAAAAATTATTTATATTAACAGTTTATATAACTTAAACTCTTAAGTAAATATTTATTATAAGTAATATTAATAATTAATACTATATAGGGTAAAACCGAGCTCATGGTACACCCCGGCTTCCGGTAAGATACATCGAGCTTGAGACATGGTGACAAGGAACCGGAATCGAGGCAAGGGTCTCATCGAGTCAGAGTCCGGGGAGTGACACCCACCCTCGAGAATATCGGGGCCATGAGCCGGCATCGGTCTAAATCCCAAAAGACTTCGGAGGGCGTTGTCGGACAATCAACCACGACCAACAGAAGGTCGTGATATTCGCGACCGACCGGATATCACAGCGCATATCTCGGCACACATCGATAGTGAATCAGTGATTAGTTAAACAGAATAGTACTTAGGGTAAAACTCCCCTACTATATAAAGGGGAGTATGATTATTCATTAGACACATTGTAACGCAAGCATAGCAAAGCAATATACTATTATTTTCTTTGTTCTTATTGTTGTTCATCAGTGCTGGTCATTGTGAGTCCGGATCAAGGGTGGATATTTCATTAAGGCTAGAATCCTCCTCCTCACGTGGTTTGAATTTACTACATCTTTATTTATTTAATCTAACGCAGTATACCATTTATATCGAGTTAATCCGCATGTTCTTAAAATCACTTACAAATTCAATTTATCTATTTTTTAGGGTAAACAATTTGGCACCCACCGTGGGGATAAGGATAATAGTGGCAGTTCGATACAAATTCCGATAACACACCCTAATTTAACTTATTCTTTTAAGTACCTGTAATTTCAGGTCAAAGGTCAAAATATCAAACTCCCAATCTGTCCCTCTTAACGTTGATGTTGAGTCTAGCCACCACGGCGAAAACAACAATATAGCGCCCAACAACGAGGTTCACCCTATTGACCCCAACGGGGCCACAATCTCAGACCCGATCGACGTCAGCTCCCACGTGGCCATCAACGGTAACTTGCCCACCGACCCGGAGGTCAGCGTTCGCGGGAAAGTCAGGTCAGTAGCCGGGGATACACACGGCAGTAAGGGCGATGGGATCAACTTATGAGTGATCTTCGAAATGCTACAGGCTCAACAGGCAGTGAAAGCCCAACTGCAGAACCAAAATCGTGCCCCTAGTAGAGTTGAGCCCGAGCCGTCCCGGGAAATCACTCATAGAATCGAACAAGTCATAGAGAGGCCGAATATAGCTGAACCTGGTTCTAACCCCGAGATCATACAGATGCTCGAGGAGCTGACAAAACGAGTAGAATCGGGAGAAAAGAAAATCGAAACCAATGATAAAAAGGTGAAAACCTACAACTACAAGGTCGACCAAATCCCAGGAGAACCACCGATATTGAAGGGCCTGGACTACAAGAAATTTGTTCAAAAACCTTTTCCTCTGAGCACATCTCCGAAACCAATCCCAAAGATGTTTCACATGCCCAAAATTCCAAAGTACAACGGGATAACTGACCCAAATGAACGTGTGACCTCTTACATGTGCGCCATCAAAAGGAACTACTTGGAGGATGATGAGATCGAGTTCGTCCTGCTAAAAAAGTTTGGGGAAACTTTGTCAAAGGGAGCTATGATATGGTATCATAACTTACCCTCATAAATCTATTGACTCGTTTGCTATGCTTGCAGACTCCTTCGTGAAAGCGCACGCCAGAGCCATCAAGGTCGAGACCAGGAAGTCAGACTTTTTCAAAGTGAAGCAAAGAGATAATGAGATACTCAGGGAATTCATGTCCCGTTTTCAAATGGAACAAATGGACCTGCCTCCGGTCGCAGACAATTGAGACATTCAGGCCTTCACCCAAGGACTCAGTACTCGAAGTTCATTGGCCAGCAAAATCTGGTAGAATACCCAGCGGTAACTTAGGCTGACGTCCATAATCCGTACCAGCCAAAAATTAGGGTCGAAGATGATCAGCTTGGGGCCCCTTCCGGGTCCATTTCCAAAAGAGACTTTGATCGTGAACCAAGATCAAATAGAGACCAACATCAACCATACAGCGGAGATCGAAGAGGTAACGGGTTCGGGCGCAACCCTGTGAGGAGTAAAAGAAGGAGCAATCGAGGTCATAATAATCAGGGGCTCATGAGCAAGAACTATTTTGACAGATCCAACGAGCCTAAAGAAGCACCGAGGTTATCGGAGTACAACTTCAACGTCGATGTTGCTGCCATCGTATCTGCCATTTGACACATCAAAGACACCAAGTGGCCCCGAACTTTATAGTCTGATACTTCCCAAAGGGACCCCAACCTAATGTGTAAGTATTGGAACTCACGGCCACAGAATCGAAGACTTCCAACAACTGAGAGAGGAAGTAGCCCAATTATTCAACAACGGAAACCTCCGAGAGTTCCTAAGCGATCGAGCCAAAAAAAAATTTAGGAATAGGGACTCCAATAAGCATATCAAACAAGAGGAACCTCAGCACGTCATTAACATGATTATCGACGGAGTAGTTGTCCCCCAGAGGCTAATGTTAAAGTGCATCAAAGTATCCATCACAAGGGAAAAACAGACTCGAGATTACGTGCTGGAGGGAACCATATCTTTCAATGATGAGGACACTGAAGGCATCGTGCAACCACATAATGATGCATTGGTAATATCTGTACTCATAAATTATCTCGAGTTAAGCTGGTGTTAATTGATCCAGGTAGTTTGGCCAATATCATAGATCGAGAGTTGTATAACAACTGGTCTACAAGACCAAATTGTGCCTGCAACCCGAGTTCTAAACGGATTCAACATGGCATGTGAGACCACTAAAGGGGAGATCACACTACCTCTAAACACCGCCGAGACCATTCAGGAAACAAAGTTCTATGTGATCGAAGGAGATATGAGATACAATGCTCTATTCGGGAGGTCGTGGATTCACAACTTGAGGGCAGTGCCCTCGACACTGCACTAGGTGTTGAAATTCCTGACACCTAGAGGTATTACAACAATTTACGGAGAGCAATCGACCACTAAGGAGATGCTCGCGATCGACAAGGTGGTCCTGATATCCGCACTTCAGCCCCAAAATATTCGAGTTCGGTCGTCAAGGGAGAAACCAAATATTAATCACTGACATCGGCCCCGGCCGAATCGGAGAAGCAGAGGATAGGTGAGGACGATGAATACAGAGTTCCTAGTCTTTCATAGTCCCCGACAATTCCGACACCACCAAATCAGTGGTTGAAGAACTGGAGCAAATCATATTGATCAAGCATATGCCCGGTCGTAAGGTATACCTGGGCACGAGGTTAAGTCCCGAGCTCAGGAAAAAACTCATTAAATTCCTTATAGCTAATATAGATTGTTTTGCTTGGTCCAATCTCGATATGACAGGGATCTCGCTAGAAATAACTACTTATAAGTTGAGCCTGGATCTGAAGTTCCACCCAGTCAAACATAAAATGAGGCCTCAGTCTGAAGTTAAGCATGCATTCATCAAAGACGAGGTATCTAAACTCATTAAAATAGGGTCCATTTGGGAGATTAAATACTCGTATTGGTTAGCAAACATAGTGGTAATCCCTAAAAAGGGGAATAAGTTAAGAATGTGTGCAGACTACAAAGACTTGAACAAGGCATGCCCCAAGGACTCTTTTCCTTTGCCCAACATCGATCATATGATTGATGCGACGGCCGGCCATGAGATCCTCAGCTTTCTCGATGCCTATTCTGAGTACAACCAAATTCGGATGGACCCGGGCGACCGGGAAAAGACATCCTTCATCACTAAATATGGCATACTGCTATAACATAATGCCATTCGAACTAAAAACGTTGGTGCCACTTACCAACTCCAAGTAAATCGGATGCTCGAAAAACAAATAGGAAAATTAATGGATGTTTACATTGACGATATTGTCACACCTCCTTTTTATACCCCGAGAGGTATATGAGAATTTTTCCAATTAAAGTGACATTAATCGAGATGGGATTAATTAAATTATCAGAGTCGCCACTTGGAATAGTTTAATTGGTGTCCCAAGTCACCGGTTTATTTTAAATCCCAAATCGAGGAAATTTCGACTTTGTTTAAAAGTCTGCGAACCAGAAATTCTAGATAAGGAATTCTGTTAACCCGGGAGAAGGTGTTAGGCATTCCCAGATTCCGTGGTTCTAGCACGGTCGCTTAGCGATTTATACTTGGCCTAAATTGTCTAATTACTTATTTTAGAACCTATGTGTATTTACCTTTTTACCGCTTTTAATCACTTGATTTATTCGTAATTAAAGAATTGAATTATGCGTACGTATACTCTTTTCTTTTGGCGCGTCAAAAATCATGTCACGTGAATGTGTCCCCAACTAATAACGCTTTGTTTATTTTATTAAGAAAGGTTTAGTTGAAGTTGCGCGAACGCATCCCTCGAGTCTCTTTTTAGAATTAAATTTGCAATTATGTTACGCGAATGTATACATAATCACAATAGTAGTCTAAGTCGAGCCTAAAGTAAACTACGAGTGTTTAAGATAATTTAATACTAGGTTAATATCAATATGAGGGCCATAGGTGATTTAATTAGAATGACACACCTCAATCCATTTTTAAGAATTATATCTAACTACAATAATCTAAGGATGTTTTTATATGACTATTAGTTGAAAGAAAAAT